GGAGTGGAGCTCGCCGCTCTTGTGCATCTCGAACTTGAACAGGAAGCCAGAGACGCGGCCGAAGAGGCAGTCGGGCCGCAGCTGCCGCTCCTCAGTGACGGGCCAGCCCAGGAAGACATCGCAGAAGGCGTGGGTGAAGGCGCGCATGAACTCGGCGGAGGAGCGGGGGCTGGACGCGATGAGGTGCCACCGCTCAGCGGCGGCGGGGCGGTTGACGGGCTCCCCGGTATCACGGTGGAAGGTATAGCCGCGGCCGGCGAGCTGGTAGACGGACTGCGACGCGAGCGACGAGGGGTTCAATGTCCACGACAGGGTGGGCGGCCCGAGGACCAGCCAGAGCGCGTACCCACGGCTCCGCAGGCTGGCCAGCGACGCCACGGAACCCACGACGTGCGTGGAGGTGCTGTGCACGGCGCGGACCAGGTCCCGGACGACGGGGGGCGCGTCGTGGAGGCGGTCGACCAGGCGCCACGCCGGCAGGCCGGCGGCGAGGAGGTCGGTGGTGTGCAGGATGTCGCTCATGCTCATGCGGCCCAGCGCCTGCACGAGGTGAGGCTGCATCCTCAGGCGGACGGCCACCTGCGCGTTGACGGAGTGCCGCTGCCAGATGTCGAAGGCATCCAGGATGAAATGCGGCGCCTCAGCGCTCTCGTCACGGCAGCCGTCCCTCAGCGGCGGCACCCAGCGCTGGAGCTGCAGCAGGATCCACGCGTGCAGGGACATGCGGACGGGGCAGGCGCCGGTGCCGTTGGGGAAGCGGTTGGGGTGCGCGAGGAGGAGCCAATTGGGGTCGTAGTCGTTCAGCGGCTCCCCCTCGGTGGAGACCACCAGCGGCCAGCCGTTGCAGATGTCTATGAAGGCATCCGGGTTCCCGACGGCCTCCTTGAAGATGGCGCTCAGGTCGGGCGGGGCTTCGGTGGTGGTGATGAAGGAGACCTCGTCCGTGCCGTACGTGGGGCCGGGCGGTGAAGGCGCGACCGGTGGTAGCGAGGCGGCGGGAGCGGCCGGCGGGGGCGGTGGTGGAGGGCTTGTGCTTGTGGTGGCGGCGGCAGTGGTGGCCGTCGCAGAGGTGGCGGGGGTGGGGGCAGCGGGTGCGGGAGTCACGGTGGGGGCGGTGGCGGGGGCGGCGGCGGCGGCGGCGGCGGGGACAGGACCGGGGGCGGTGGTAGGGGCGGCGGTGGGGGCGCCCGTGGGGGCGGCGGTGGCGGGGGTGGAGGTGGTGGCGGCGGTGCTGGGTGCGGCGGTGGGGGCTGTGCTGGGTGCGGCGGTGGCGGGGATGGCGGCGGCGGGGGCGGCCGTGGGGGTGGCGGCGGGAATGGCGGCGGGGGCGGTGGTGGGGGCGGCGGTCGGGGTGGCCGCGGCGGCAGGCACGCCGCCGTGCTCCGAGGTGAGGACGAGGAGGGAGCCGGGCGGGACTAGCGCGCCAGGCGCGGGGTGGATGGGCGGGGGCGGGGCTGCCGGCGAGGGTTGGTGCACTGGAGCGGCAGTGGTGGGGGGAGCGCTGGGGCGCGCCGCAGAGGTGGGCGGGGGGGGGTGTGCTTGGTGGCCCGGCTGGTGCGGGAGACGGAGGTGGTCGTCCAGAATCTGTGTGGGTTGTGCACGAATGGAAGAGTGTTGTGAAGAAGGGGCGTAGGAGTCGCCAGGGGGTAGCAGGGTGTACACGGTGGTCGGAAAGGCCGGATTATTTCAGGTGGTTCGTAGAAGAGCGGCAGTACGCGCGAAAGGGCAGGAGGAATGAGGCAGTGACGTGCGGAAGCGACGCCCGTACCGTTTTGAGGTGAGCGGCGTGCTGCCGTAAGTACTGCGGCAAGTTGCTGGTGTGCTGCGTCAGGGAGGTGTGCCGCGGCAGGGTTTGAGCGGCGGCCGTCCATTTATGGTTCTCGACGTGGCGTCGGAAGATCTCCGCTGTGCGCCGGTCAAGCTGCGCGACGGCGTTTTGGATGGCAGGGGCGGCCTTGGACCGTGATCGGGACGGTGCCTGGGGAAGGATCGGGCATTGCAGAATTATTCGGACGGTGCCTCGAGGCGGCAGAAGATGGCATGTACAAATGGTAAGGCGCCAGGACGAGCGAGGTCCCATGGGGGCCCCTGCCCCCGGTTGCGGGGCGCGCGGGTCGGGGGCTCGCAACCCATGGTGCCACCGAGGGTTGGAACAAACACGGGTGACGGCGCAAAGTGTCCAGGGCGGTAACGATGGCGCGCACCTGTGGTGGGGGCCGTGGCGAGGCCCTGGTTGCCGGGGGGGGGTGTAGGGGCCGCCGCTGAGGGGGCGGGAGGTTGTACACTGGCTGCGGCTGCTTCTTCCTCGGTGCCGTACCTAGCACGGGCGTACCGCTCCTGGTCGGCTCGTAGAAGCTGCAGGAACTCGTTTGCTTCCTCCATGGTGCGTGTGTAGGTGGCCGTTTGCAGGAGGGCTTCGGGGACACCGTCAGGGAGGGCTTCCCACTCCTGGACGGCGGCTGTGTCGAGTCTGCACAAGCCTAGCCGTTCGTAAAGGGCACCAAGGTGCACGGCCCATGTGGCGATGACCTTGCCGCGGACTTGAAGGGCGGGGGAGCGGCGGGCGAGGTCCACTGCGTCGTCGTACGTCTGAGCGGGGCCAATCAGGATGATGCTGATGAGGTCGGGCACTTCGGACGGACGCGGTGGAAAGGCTTTTGCGATGTGGGCTGGACCGGGGCTGCGGAAGCCAACGATGTGAGCACGCAGCATGAGGTGCCCTTCGCCTGGCTGGATGCGGGCGGTGGCTGGGCGGCAGACGACGAGGCTGCGGACCACTCGAATGACCGCGAGCAGCCGCTCCTCCACAATGGTGAGCGGTGGAAGGTGCGGTGGGCGAACGCCGTTGTCAACACGCGCGAGGGAGTGGGGTGGCGTGGTGTGGCGTTGGAGGTGGGTGTGGCACTCGGTGCACATATCCATGAAGTGGTTGCCGTCCGGCGATAGGCGCACACATGCGGCGTCGGGGTGGGCTTGGATGAAGAGCGGTACACGGGTGGGAGGTGAGGATGAGGGCGCGGGAGGCTGACCAGGTAGTGCAACATGTTCTGCGGCTGCAACAGCTCGCTCCAGGGGTGCAGGTGCTGGCTGGTACGGCTGCATGGTACGTAGCGCCTCCTCCAGCAAGCCTGCGTGGAAGATGGAATACGGTGGAGGGAGGTAGAGTTGGGTGCAGAGGACGGAGGCCGTTGAACAGTACAGGAGGACAAGGACATAGCGGGCACAGAGTGCTGGAATGAGCCGTGGTAGGCAATAGTCGTGTGGGCGTGTTATGCTCGTATGTGTTTCCGGCACGTACTGCAGGGGGTGGGTGCGCACCTTCAACAGACGTGCGGTTGCCTGGCTGGGACATAAGGAGCTGGGCTTCCTCTGCAGTGGGGGGCACCCACAGCGTATTGCCGTCACGTGGGCAATCAAGAGTCGCTTGGCTGTTCTTGGCGAGCAGGGCTGTCATGTTGGCGTTGACCTCGAAGTACCTGTAGGTGCGGATGTCTCCGGGTAGGTGCCGGCGGCTGCAGCAGCAGCAAACCATGGTGGGCAGGTTGGCAGCAAGTGCCGCACGGAATGCGGCGGCATCTTTGGTATCGTCGTCCATGGTTAAGCCGAGGTCCGGTAGCGAGCACGGAGGGGATGTGCCCTGCTGTGCCTGCATGATTGGGGATAGGCGGAGTCGGGCTGTGACATGTGACGGGCTTCATGGTTTATAAGCGGTACATGCAGGCACACAAAACCAACCCGAACAACATGTCCCCGGCTCTACCCCCGACCATACCTCGGACGCTTGTCACTACCCGAGCACGATAGGCAACAAGGTCATGGGTTGCTTCCCCGGCAAGACGTTCGCGCCTGTACCGCACCTTGTGTTCCAAGACTTTCGCCACATTGTCTGTGAGTGTCGTACGGGGGCGCTCCTGCCAGGCGTCGAGCCGCTGCTGCGCTGCTGGGCCGCTGGGCGCTGCTGGTTGGGCTATTTGGACGAGGTTGGCGTCGGGTTGAATGGTACCGGTGGCTGTAGGCGGTGCCGGGCGTGAAAACTGTTGCGCATGGTGTTTTAGGAAGGTCAGGAGTTGGGTACTGGTGTGACCCGGGAAGAAGGGCTGCAGCGCCGTAGACAGTTGTTGCTGGTGTCCTGCCTGGAACGGCTGGCCTTCAGGGGGCAGCAGGTCTCGCAGGTGGGGGTGCTCAGTCAGCAGTTGTTGTACAGTCGCCACAGTCAGCAGTCGCATGGGGAGTTGGGTGGAAAGGTGCTGGAGATCAACGCGGTGGTGGGAGAGGAAGGCTTGAATGGTACGTTGCTCCTCTTTCCATTTGTTGCGAGGGACGTGTAGTAGAGGCAGGAGCAGCTGGGCGGCTGGGGCCCACTGCCCGAATTCGTGCTGAGACGTCGGCGGCGGCAAGGCATTTCGGAGGTGCGGGTTAGCGTCTATGAGCCGCCGCAGGAGGTCTATGGTCAGTTGGGGTGTAGAGGACGTCGGTGTACGGCTTGGAACGGGAGGACTCGAAGGCCGCCCGGAGAACTGGAATGTTTCGCCAGGTGCACCTGCATGTGAAGGGGAAGTTGAGGTGTTGGAGGCGTGATGATATGTGCATAAGGGAGTAAGAAGATGCGGGAGGGCGGTGGGGGCCGGAGGCTGGGGCGGGGGGTGGCGGCTGTATGTGAGGTACGGATGGGGTGATGGTAAGGAGGCTTGGTGGGCGGCAGAAGGGGCAAGGCCGGTACGTACGGCAACCGGGTGAGATGTGCCAAGGGTGGGAGGAACGGCAACGGTGGCAGGTGAGGCAACGGGCCAACGGTGGCAGTAGTATTGGTGATCAGGGTATGTGAACGGACGTAAACCGTACCATACCTTGCCGTTCTGGTCGCTGCATGCCTCCAAGCAGTACGCTGGTGACGTGAACTGTACTGTTGTTGGTGATGCGCAGGTAAGCTGGGCTGCGGGAGGGGTGAAGGCGCCTTCCATTGCAAATGAGGCGGAGGTGATGCACTCTGGGAAAACGGAGCGTTCGTATTTTGGGGAGAATTCGTAATCTAGGCCAAACCATTCGTATTCTAGGCCATGTGGGCTTTACGAATGGTGTTCACACAGACATGCACCTAACCCTCTCACTGGGTGTATTTAAGTCCTATATTGTGTTAAAATCCACGCCCCACCTAAAGTGCACACATGTGCACACACGCACTCTGACTCCCTGTTTTCCGTATTCCATCTGGCACGATTCGTAAAATTGGGACACCCGTCCGTATCCTGGCACTGGCCCATAATACGGAGTATCCCCAGCCGAGAACAGGTGTAATGCAGGTATACGACGTGCTACAGGAGTCCTTATGAAATTGTTCTGACAGGTTTACGCAAATTTAGTACCATGCGGCATGGACAGGTGGTACCTTACATACACAACTCATCCAAAGTGTGCTCTGGGAAAAGCACGGAAGGACCCGTCACCCAATGGCAGGTCACTTCACGTTCCGCCACCACATCACCACACGACTCTCATACGAAGAAACCGGCCCCTCATGCCAGCATGGCCAATATTTTGCCAATATTTAAGTTAACATACACTGCACGGACAGGCCTACCTAACCATAGCGTAACCCTACAATACATACTGCTCTATACCTACGTGTCTGCATGCCGTGGTGCCACGAGACTGGCATGATACAAAGTACCTTAGGCCCAGCATGCACAAGTCAAGTCATGTTTGGTCCTGCACACACACGCACCTACGCACGCCAACAGTGCACCCGCGAGCTCTGCACGCGGTCTAATAAAGCATTTTAAAGCCTAAGCCATGCCGGCGGACCCGCTGTAAGCGGCCGTGGTGACACGATACTGGCACACAATACATTCGGCACCACAGCATGCACAAGTCACCATGTTTGGCCCGGCACACACAAGTAACACTCCCTGCAAAAATGCAAATTCGAGGTCCTAGTTGCCCTACCTATAGCCTAGCCTAACCCAACCTAGCCTACCCTGTCTAACCTAGCCTGACCTACCATGACTCCTGCCTCCCATGCATTGTACATGCCACCTCCCCCTATGCCATGCACTTCCTCTTTCGACCCCGCACACCGCCTTCCCCACGCTGCTTGCTCTCCACGCAGGTTCCCGAGCTGTTGGAGCTCCCGCCAGCCTGAGCCGTGCTAGCTGGTGTTGCGATGCCCCCCAGCAAACTGCACATCTTTTGCCGCCACTGGACAGTGGCTCCGGTCGCCAGCAGAGAGTTGACCCCGCCTCCATCCTCCAGCAAAGACCGGATGGTGGCAATGCGCACCGTGGAATCCAGCCTGCGCTTGTATAGAGCAGTCAAGCCCTCACCCATGCGGGCAATGCCACCCTCCTCCTTCTGCACGGCGGATCGCAGGAGGGAGTGCAAAGCTCAATGCGCTAAAATTTGCAGGAGTGTCGCAGGAGATAGCAATTCCCCCATTGCTAAAACAACTCAACACAAGTAACCGTGCAGGAAGTATTACAGCAAGTATTACAGCACGTCATATCCTAGGTGTAGAAAGACGTACCTGCAGCGCTTTTGCTACTGCCACCTCCGCCCTGATGCGGTTCTCCATCCACGCGATGTAGCCCTTGTTGAAAAGGACCACGCACCCCTCGAAGCTCTCCGAACCCCCGGTCTCTGCAGCACGCCGCAGCAGCCGCTGAGCAGACTCCTGGACGAGCCCCTCGTCCTTACTGCCGACCAGCAGCGGAAGGGGATGAACGGAAGGGAACGAAGCGGAACCATTAAAGCCACCCACGTGGGGCTGCCCCTGCCCCTTGCCAGATAGCCAGCAGCGGAAGGGAAGGTAAGCACAACCGCATGTCCCATTGCAGCCACCCACTATTCCTGTAAAGGTCCACCAGTTACACGAGATGGTCATACTTGCTTGCAGTATATCATGTATATCAATATAGTTAGCGAATCGCAATCTGGGGTTTGTAAGTTTACATGCTGTACCACACCGAGTATACTTCAAACTGCGCCCGGACTCTTCCTTTCATAGTCATATCCACATAGCTATTTAGACATACTATACCATTGCGATAGAAAGTCATGTTCACTGGTAAATAGGAATTTAGCTTGTGAGGTCAACAATGGCCTTGGCGACGGGCGCGGCTCCTATGGACGTCAACCTTCCGTCCTTTCCTAAGAACATTATGCTGGAAAAAGTATCAAAGTCCGTGGAGGGAACGTGCCTGCATGACAGGCTCCCGCTTGCCATGTGTCCATGGACCGAGGACTCCCTGGCGGCTGCTCTTCAAAACGGTTCAGCTGATACCTTCTTCCTTTATGAAGGTAGGACATATTCCAGTTGCAACACTTGTATGCGGACTTGCAGTAAGGACTCTGTTTAACAATGTCGCTGGTCAATGTTCGCCCACAGAGGGTGGCGCGAGACAACAGAGTGCGCGGATCGTTGCTAGCATCGCTCTGGTACTTAAGGACCATGTCCTGCGGCGCTTTTGTTGCCGCGCGGATGTCGTGGCGGCATTGGAGGAATTCAAGTGCACCATGCTAGTATGCGGCAGCTTTGCCGTTAACGAGGACGGCAGCATGGTGACTTGGACACTTTCCCACAGCAAGGCGTGCCGTGTGGCAGGAACAGAGCAGTCCGGATATGACGGGTGAGTGTGGAGGGGGTTTGGGACACTTTACGAAATTACACCGTCATAATACGGATCGACAAGCATAAAACGGGGGATTCGGCAGGATTGCAGGCCCATGTTTGCGTAGCTTGCTGGTGCGACATGTTCCTCTGACAAGACGTGTATGGGAACGATCTCCCGGCACTGGGGCTTAGCTGTTTGCAAACCCACCTGTGATGGGCCTATGTGACGTGACCGTGGCGCTGCACCTCCTTGCACATGCTCACCCGGGTACAGGCGGACAACCTGGCGGCAAGGGCAGCGCCTTCCACCCTCACCAATGCAACGGGGGTCACAGCAGGAACGGAGGCGACCCGCTCAAAAAGTGCCACGATGACATTTGGCAAATTGGAGACGGCCGTGTCTGGGCTACTGGACCCAGCTGTGACCCAATCGCAGCGCATCCAGTATTGCAAAGCAATTGACGCTGAGTGCAGGAACGGCCAGAACTCGTTGGTGAGAGAAGGTGAGTAAGGCCGGGTTTAGGGCTCAATTGGTGGTGGCGCCACTACATGCTGCCTACTGTGTACTTCCATACATATTGCAATGCATGCTACCCCCTGCAACCATGCCCATTCTTAGTTCCTGTCGACCACCGCCTTTTACCCTATGTAACCTGATGCTGCAGTCGCACACGGGGTCTGGCCACGGGATGCTGGCAGTGGGCACCTTGTCACCCTCAGCGACATGTCAAATGCGCACGGGATTGCGTACACGGACCTGCTCGCGGGTAAGTGCGGGGCGGCAACATGTTAACGGGGCCCGGCAAGATAGTTGGCCGACAGGATTGTAAGCAGGGGGCGCTGTACAACAGCACTAGGCTGTGTAGTACAGTTTTAGTGCATTCTTTAGTACAGTGTGTAGTACATTCTTCGGGGTTGACGGGGGCATGCTGATACCACACATACCGATACCCATACCCATGCAGGCGGCGTCGTCTACAACATGCTTACGGTAGAGCCGGGTGACAACGTGCTGTATGCTGGCTTGCCCACGGAGGACGGTAACATCGCGGCCGTGGGCATGACTTTCAACTTGGAGCAGCTGCGGTTGCTGGTGGAGGGGGCGGCGAAGTACGACTACCTAAAGACGGATGCGGCAGCTCGGAAGGCAAGAGCTGCTAACCTGTACGAGCTTCCATCGCTCGAGGAGCTGTGGATGAAGGAGTGCCGCCCGTAAGCATGGCCTTTGCATCCGTGCTCTGGTTCATTGTTACTAGCACGATATCAGACAGGCTAAACCATGCTCCATTGTGATGCGCTACCTGGACAATTGTGGGATGCAGCTGAAATGAATCGCTTCATTGTTCCATCGTCCCTTTACATGCCTTGATGCTATGCATGCAACTGCTATCATAGGCGTTCGGATTGAGGTCGACGGAGGTGGCGGTGCTGCTGGTGGCGCCACAGGCGGTGCCGCAGGGGGTGCTGGAGGTGCTGGTGAGGGAGTGGCCGCGCCCTTGGTGAGCATATACGGGGGGGGGAGCCGTGGGAAGGACTATTCTGGTGACCTTGATCTTACAATCACATGGCTTGTTTGAGAGTATGCTTGCTTGCGGTTAACAGTTACATGCTGCCTATAATGGGCCCTTCAGGATCAAGGTGCGGCCCAGCCTGGTGCGGCGGCCACCACAGCGCACAGCGACGAAGAGGTACGTCAATGTGAAGCCTTCGTGGGTAGACATTTGGCTAAGGACTGCATGGCTCACACAGCTCGCATCTTCTGAGCATTTGAAACGGGTATTGGGTGCAATGTGCTGAACCGCCCCTTTCTTATCCCATGTTGTCCCGCAGGAGGAGCCGGATCTGGCGCTGATTAACTTGGATGTCTTTGGTGTCGAGCCGCCAGTGCAGCAGCGTGCGCCACGGGGTCGGCAGCGGGCGTCTGGTCTGGATGACGACCTCAGAGCCCGTGGTGGCAGGAAGAAGCAGCGGACCGGGGCTGCTAAGGTGGCGAAGAGCGGTCGTGGTGGTGGTAGCGGGAGGGGAGAAGTTGGCGGTGGAAGAGGGCGTGGGCGGGGCGGCAGGGGCGGGGGGAGGGTGGCGGCAGTGGTTGAGTCGGAAGAAGAGGAGGATGGGGGTGACGAGGAAATGGAGGACGACGAGGAGGCAAGCGGGGAGTCTACTGGGGAGGGGCAGGAGGATGACGTGAGTGTCCGGGATACATCGGATGACAGCAGCAGCAGCAGCGGCGGTGGAAGCAGTGGCAGCAGCGGCGAACGGGCGGGCGGAAACCGGCAGCAGGACCGTAGGCAGCAGGAACTAGAGCAGCAGCAGCAGCGGGGTAAGAAGCAGCAGGCAGCAGTTGGGGCGGCAAAGGTGCCCAAGGCAGGAACTGGGTCGAGTGGCCAGTCTCGGCGTGTGCGGGCTAACCGCTAGATAGAGGCAGACTGGGAGTAGGTTGTTTGCAATGGGCATAGAGTAGCTGTGAGTGGAAACATGGTTCGTAGATAGGTGATCCAAAGTTGGGTTGGGTTGGCTTCACGTGGTGTACCTTTTGTATTGGTTTGGCCGTGATTGCTTGGATGATTTATTATTATAAGCTTGGATGACTTGATAGCACAAACCTGATACCCATGACCATACTTCTTATCTACCTGCAATTTTTGACGTGCATGATCCTATTTCGTTGCAGGGGCGTTGGAGTAGGTTAGTTCAGGGACTGTAGGCAAGATGTTTGATATAGATAGGCAATGGAGTAGATATTGGACTATGGTAAGCTAGCTTATGGATTGCATTGGGGGCGTGGGGCTTCCAGGGGCGTGGTCCCTTCGTATAATGGTGGTGAGCATTCGTAAAAAGGAGGAAGGGACTAGGCTCATATGCAGCTTCTGACCATGTAACGAAATGGTGGAGTTCAAAATCATATGACGCATCTCCTACGATTGTCTAACAAGCTGCGTATCCTTACTGACAGGGCTCCGTATTCCCTCGTGGGCTATCCGTAAAATTTCGTATTCCATCCGTATAATAGTGCCGTATTGCAGTCCCCATCCGTAAAATGAGAGTTGCTTCCGTATTCGAGGTACAGGGGGCATAGCTTGCTACCGCCTGTTTGTGCTACACGTGCTCCGGACACTATGCGGAAGTGTTCACATTCACTCTAGTGCATGTAACCGTGGGACTCCTGCATTACAGGCAATTCGTAAACCTTTCCCCACCATTCGTATCCCTTTCCGTATTCTCTGTCCGCCTTTACGGAAGATACCCTTCCGTAAAATGGGGTCAAAATACGGAAAGGTAGACCCCCATTTTACGAATGGGTGGACCCTGGTTTTCCCAGAGTGATGGGCCGTCGCACAGGAGTAAGCTCCGTCCAGCTCTAAAACACGCTGCATGGGTAGGGATGCCGGCATACGGACGAGTGTAGTGTTGCCATTCAGTTGGCGAAGGAATAGGTGGATGGAGTTGGAGGAGGGTGGGTCGGGGACGATGGGAGGCGTTGTAGTCGTTGTGCTGGAAGCGGTAGGCGCGGTAGTAAACGCTGCCACAAAGTGCATGATGAGGAACAGGCAGAGGATGGTGGTGTGGCCGCGAGACAGTGCCGAACGGGCAGCTCTGGTGAGCGTTGGCAAGTAGATGACGAGAGGAGGTGCAAGGACAACACAATGCACCAACAGGCGCCAATACGTCACCGTAAGTTGAAGGAGGCAGACGGCAGCTATGGTCAAGAGCGGTGCGCTGAGGAGCCAGGACGCAATGGTGCAGGTAAAGGACGATGCAATGAAAGCACCTATCTTTGCAGCCCATATCGCCAGCTGTGCTGTCCATAGCAGGGCTGGTGCGAAGCTGTTGTGAAGGCGTCGGTTGCGGTGCCAGAACGGGAACGCCAGTTGCCAATTTGCGTGTCTGGCGACTACATCTTGGCTGCGTTCGTTAGGGCGTGCTACAAAGGTAACGCTTGTAAAGACTGCAAGCCAGCAGGCCAGCGGCAGGAACGTCAGGAATAAGCGTCTATTAATGCGCATTGTTATCGTTACGTTTCAAATTCTGTTATTCAGTACAGCCGCAGTGATACAGTAGGACGGGTTGAGTACTTAAGGAAACATGTCAACTGGTGGCACCAGGTTAGGTGCATTAAGTAGTGTTCGGGTTGTTTCGGTTGGATAGGCGTAAGATAAGATATGACATGTGGCGGTTGGTAGTTATGGCATGGCCGGGGGTTGCAGTCAGGAGTTGCAGTCGAGTAGTGCAGTCGGGAGTTGCAGGCGGCAGTTCGCCGAAGGTGCTATACATGTCATACGCTTAATCCGTTACCTGGTAAATTAGTTTGGCGATGAGAGGTCCGAACCGTTACATGTAATGGTTGCAACACGATTGGCCTGAGAGCTTTATAGCAATTGCAATAAGTAATTTTATGCAACTCTTATTCTATCGCGTAGCGAACTTGCTTGGAATGAAGTGGAGGAGCATATGACTGGGAACAGTTATATTTCCCAGTCATGTCATTTATCAGCGATTTTTCTTCCAGCCAGGTTAGTGTCTGCCGAACCGGTGCCAAGGTTGGAATGACGGCCAGGGGGGTACGGCCTAGCGGCGAGAGCATGCCATTTCCAGGCTGGGCCGGCGTTGTCTGGTGTGTTGAGGCCATCTTCCGTAGCCGTGTTGCCGTTTTGTGCCGGCTGCATGGTGGTAGTGTTGTTGGGGTCTATGCTGGTGCTGCGGTTAAGTGGTACTCATGGTGATGGACGGTTCAGAAGGTGTAGTTCAGTGGTAGTCATGGTGTTGCTGCGGTTGGGCCGGAGGCCCCCGCCGCCGAGAGGAAGGTTGGAACGAGCGCCAGGGGGGTACGGGCCAGGGGTTTGCATGCACGGCAGTTGGGTAGTGACGGCAAGGGTGATGTGGAGGTCACTTGCCTGCGGTGGTGTTCCTGGGGTCTATGCTGGTGCTGCGGTTAAGTGGTACTCATGGTGATGGACGGTTCAGAAGGTGTAGTTCAGTGGTAGTCATGGTGTTGCCGCGGTTCGGCCGGAGGCCCCCGCCGCCGAGAGCGGTGGTGTTCCTGGGGTCTATGCCACTCCGGGGCTACAGAGTAGGGGGGAGGGGCAAGCCAGGAGGCCAGCGGCAGGAACGTCAGCAAGAAGCGTCTACTCATGCGCATTGTTCTCGTTACGTTTCATTCTCTATTATACAGTACATCTGCAGTGATTTGAGTAGGACTGGCTGAGTAGTTTGAAAGTTGTGCAATGGTGGTACTAGGTTAGGTGCATTAAGTAGTGTTCGGCAGTAAAGGCCGCCGAGGGGGAAGGGAGGATTGAGGGTGTTGCGGGTAGGGGTCGCTGTGGTTTGTGGGTGTTATTGATGCTGGCTCGGGTGGCGCGGGGTGGGAAGGCTGCCCTGGTGCTGCCAGTGTTGCTGGGGTTGCTGGCGGTGGTGCTGCAGTGGCCGGACAGGCAGGTCACGCCGCGCTCCCAGCCGCCGCCGCCCCCTGCCACGTCAGCACGGCGGCGGCCAGCCGGGCGTGCACGTCTGCCACCTGCACCCCAGCCCCGGCGTAGAGCATGCAGGCACGGGCGGCCGGCACTCCGAGGCAGTGGCGCGCCTGCCGTGGCTCGGTGGGCTCGAACATGTCGCTGTCGTACCACGGGTGCATGCAGCAGGCGGCCGCGATGCGCCGCCGCTGCCCGCAGGCCCGGCGGCCACAGCGCCGCGCCGGCCCCCTGGGGCTCCGGGCTCGAACGAGGGCAGTGGGGGGTGGCGGCGGCCCGGGCCTCCTGCTGGGCTCGAACGTGTCGCTGTCGTACCACGGGGGCATGCAGCAGGCGGCCGCGAGGTTGCTCCCCTCGGGGCTGCCGGCGGCGCTGGCCACCGCCAGGCGCAGGCGCCTCAGGCCCAGGGCCCAGTGCCAGTTGCCCGCGGGCGCCTTGCCCCAGGCCGCGAAGGCCCGCCCCCAGCCCTCCTCCGCTGACAGGGCGACCAGGGGGTCATCAGCCTCGTCGGCCCGGCGGCTGGCCCGCCAGCAGCACAGCGGCCCCACCCCAGGGGCCCCTGGCCACCCGGCGGCAGAGCCCACCAGCCGGCGACCACCTTGTCTCGGCCCACCCCGTCGGGGGCCTCCCAGGCGGCCGCGGGCGCTGCTGGCATGCAGGCGCTGCATGTGAGGGCGGCGAGTTGCGGGAAGCGCCGAAGTGCGGCGGGAGGGCACGCGAAGTCGAGGCTGGGCCGGCCTTGTTTGAGTTACGGGCAGGGTGACCCACGGGTCCGCAGGCAGCAGCGCAGCGGCAGTGGCACTTGAGGCTTCTCGCAGCGGCAGTGGCACTTGAGGCTTCTCTTATTGGAATGGACGGCAGGCCTAGGGACAACACGGCCGGGCGGCTGGCCCGCCAGCAGCACAGCGGCCCCACCCCAGGGGCTAGGGGCTTGCGATGTGAAAGGGCAACTTGGGCGCTGCTGGCATGCTGCCGCTGCATGTGAGGGAGGCGCTGCGCCGGGCGGTGGGAGGGCTTGGCGAGTTGCGGGAAGGCCCGAAGTGCGGCGGGATTGCAGGCTGGGCCGGCCTTGTTTGAGGCATGGGTTCGCAGGCAGCAGCGCAGCGGCAGCGCCGCTTCAGGCTTCAGGGGGACCCGGGGTGTACGAGGTAGGGACTTGCATGCATGGCTAGGAAGGGGGTTAGTGGGGAAGGGGCTAGGGGCTTGCACGGCTCGGAAGCCGGGGCTAGGGGGGTAGGGGCTAGGGGCTTGCACGGCTCGGAAGGGGGGTAGGGGGGTAGGGGCTAGGGGCCTGCACGGCTGCCCGGCGGCAGAGGCCGCCAGCCCCATCTCGGCCACGGCCACGTCGCCGAAGCGCTCCCCGAGCTAAGCGAGGCCCGCGCCGGCCCCCCCGCGCGGCCACCTCCACCCCAGCCCTGGCGTAGAGGATCGGCACAGCGCGGGCCATGCAGGCGGCCGCGAGGTCGCTCCCCTCGGTGCTGTCAGCGGCGGTGGCCACCGCCAGGCGCAGGCGGCTGAGGCCCAGGGCCCAGTGCCA